TGAAGATGATCTTTTCTGTTTCCTGTATATTATGATACCTCCAATTCTAAATTTATTATATTTTTATTTGTGCAAGCACTTGATTGCATGCATATATATTAGATGTATGTTTGAATGACCCATCAGTAAGGATGAACTGGTTCAATGTTGACAAAACTATTTCTTTCCCTTTGCCCTTGCCTCATTATGCAATTTTTTGGAGTCTAACCTCCATGAACCATTGCTCAGGTCTCACATATGACTTGTATTTAAGATACTATGTCTAATTTTCCTGAGGAAGTGGGTTGTAGCTCCTAATTACATGGTATCTACTTGATGGTTTATGGTGTGGCATAGATTTCCAAGGCTGATTAATACTTAAGTAAGCAGGTTTCTGAGCTCATTCAGGGAGTTATTCAATGTCTCAACCAAATTATGTTTACATAAGATCATTGGCTAGTTGGACATTGAATCAATGAAGTTTAGCATATTAAATGGCTAATCTAATGTTGTAGGACACAAATTACGATGCGCCTAAGCAAGTTGTGCAAGGGCTTTTGACAAGACTGGGGGTGGGTTGTCAGTGAAGAAAGGGTGAGGGAGGGAGGGAAACATGAATGGAAAAGAGGGGAAATTTTAGTGAAATCAAGTCTCTGCAGTACTTCAAAAACTACATATTCAGTATGAAAGCTAGTTTACATGTGTAGCTAGTAAATAAAATCATAATGACATATTCTGTTTCCCAATTAGTGAGAATCCTAAACAATACAGATCTCTAAATAAATAAGAGAACAAATTCAAATAAATCAAATGTTAAATCTAAATGTAGTATCATTTTTTGTTTCTTGTTTTCCATAGCTGAGGTACTTATCTAATGGGTGAAAACCCCTGGTTATATTCTTGAACACTATTTTATTTTCTCTTCCTTGGTGTTACCATGTGTATAATTTATCCACATGGTACCATTACTGCTTGAAAAGATTCCTTACCATACATATGTTTTGATTGTGTATGATTACTTCTTACATGAAAGAGAATTTCTAAAAGCATCTAATTTGGTTTCACAGATGCTACAGCTAGCTGAATATCATGCACGTACTGCCATTTCTGTAAAACGTCCATCAATGAAAGTACGAAAGCAGAAGTTGCTTGCTTTTTTGCAAGGTATTCTGATTTCCTAAATATACAATTGCAAGTTGAAAATACTGTGCCCCTCTCTGCAGTATTATAGGAGCAGGAAACTGATAAATTAACAATATTTTTTTTTTTACAGAAAAATATGAGCCTGTTAATGCCAAGTGGACAACAGAACGCTGCGCTGTATGTAGATGGGTTGAAGACTGGGACTATAACAAAATTATTATATGCAACAGGTTTCTTGTCAATAAGAAAATATTATGCATTGTTAGCACTGTGGATACCTTGTACTTGAAGACAATATTTGGATATATTTCATGTTACTGTTGGATTCCCTTATGAGTTGCTGAGGGTATAAAAAAGGGGTCTAGTTTGGTTGCTTGCAGTAACAGTTTGTTCCAATAGCATTTGATGATGTTCATTTTCAACAACTAGACTGAATAAGATGTTCTAAGATTTAATTAACCCCGATCCCTGTAATTTGGTGGAGCACAGAGTTTCCCTTCTGCTTTTTTTATATATCTAGTCATATATGCACAATTGGTATTATTTTAATTGAAGAGGTACAAGTGTTAAACCTTTTTTATCATATCATCAGTGTAACCTTCTGCAAGAAAGCCTGGAAGTTAAAAACCAACTTTTTGTGGCCTGGACATTGATTTAAATTTACATCTCAATCATCTTCAAATTATACTGAGATGTTATTTTTCTATCAGATGCCAAATAGCCGTCCATCAGGAATGCTATGGAGCAAGAAATGTTAAAGATTTCACTTCATGGGTCTGCCGAGCATGTGAGACGCCGGATATCAAGCGAGAGTGTTGCCTTTGTCCTGTAAAAGGCATGGTCCTGGACTGAGTGAAACCTCAGTATTCATGAATTTTCATTTTATGCTGTCTTCTTTATATCCAGCCATCACCAAAATTATTGTCTGAACCATGATTTCTTCAGTGGCATTATGTGAAGCTTTCTAGTAGTTACTCTGCCTGTCCTTTGCAAAATGCTGTCAAAATGATGATTTGTCATAGTTTCTATGACCTTCCTCAGTCTTTACCAATTTTTATGTAGTTTCCCTAAGTTGAGTAAATATTGGGTATTGAGGATTGGTGATATTGAAATGGAATTACATAGAAAACAAATCAACCATTTGAATTAGTCAGCTTCATAGATATAGTTGCAGCATTGGTCTTTCAGTTTCTTATGGACTTGGGAATCATAAAGAGTATATTAACACATTAAGTGACTTTTATCTTATACTGGTGCTTTCTGTCTATTTCAGGTGGTGCCTTGAAGCCTACTGATGTCAACTCATTGTGGGTTCATGTCACTTGTGCTTGGTTTCAACCTGAAGTTTCTTTTTCAAGTGAAGAAAAGATGGAGCCTGCCGTTGGAATCTTGAGAATTCCATCAAGCTCTTTCATAAAGGTAGTATAGATTATTTACACTTGCTTTAAAAGGTACTTTTGTTTATCTTGGGCACCCATAGACTTATATTATTATTTTTACCTTCTTTGCATTAGAAACATACTGGGGAAAGCTTCTGCATATCTTAGAACAATTTATTTTCTATATGACAAAAGGGTGTAAACCAGTGTGGTTTCTTACAAAAATAGAGTAACTGTTTGACTTTATTGTGATTTTGTTCTTCTTCTTCTTTTTTCTTTTAACTGAAAACTGCATGGGTAAGTGTGTGCATCACTTTGAGCGCATTACTGTTGTATGACAAACTGGCACAAAAAATCATTTTGGTCTATGCAAATGGATACATTAGTGAAATGACATTTCTTTTTAGTTTCTCCAGGGGGATTTAATGCCAAAAAAAAAAAGAAAAAGAGAAAAAAAAAGTAGTATATGTCAAATGTTTTGAAACTAGATTTGCACCAGGAGAGATTAGTCTAACAGGGTATGCAGTTTTTTACATCATTAAGCTATGTGAGGAATACATCATTAAGTTATCAGTAAAATCATTTTTCTAAATTTTTCTTGTGCATAGTGCAAACAACAGGTATTTGGACCCCTAATTCTCACTTAGATTGAATTGTAAATATGGTGATAGATAATGGCACATGGTTTTTTGAGCATAAATCATTCAATGTTTGACTCTGAACTCTGCTGTTATGTCAGATATGTGTAGTCTGTAAACAAATTCATGGGTCCTGCACACAATGTTGCAAGTGTTCCACCTATTACCATGCTATGTGTGCATCCAGGGCTGGGTATCGGATGGAGGTCAGTCACTAACAGTTGCTTCTACTTCTCTATCTCTCTCTCTCTCTCTCTCTCTCTCTCTCTCTCTCTCTCTCTTTTGGCTAACAATGTGGATCAGAAATATCAAGTGGAAGAACATTGTTTTCATGGAATGAATATTGAGTTAGTATTCTAAATTGCAGATTTAATTCACTGCATTTTCTTTATGTGAAACTTTGTTTGTTAAGTAGTATAACTGATTGCTTGTTTGAACATTGAAGTGTTATATAGCTCTGTTTTTATATGTGACTAGTCAGCTGCCTGTGCAAGGCAACGAGTTCTTTTTTTTTTTTTTTTTTTCCTGGATAAGAGGTTAAATCTCGAAACAATCTTGACTTTTTGTAGTAATGCAAGGACAATAATTTAGCACACAAAAGAAAGGGAGAAGCTAATGTCACATGAAAGCACACCTAAAGTAGGATTCTACACAGTTACAGCACCGACAAGCTTGTAGTTTAATTATCAATGCCACTGTCACAAGAATGAGCAGAAGCAGGTCTCATATACAACAATTAAAGGCGGGAATGGTGGGAAAACAGATAGCAGAGCGAGAACAGAAGTTCCTATAACAGGACTCATAGGCTGTAATTTAAAGAGAGGCATGTATCTACAAGAGTTGATATGTACAAATTTCATGATATTAATACCATAGATGTCTATGTGTAATACAGCACTATCATTAACACATCTCAAACATCAATAGACCTTGTTGTGCATGACAATTCAAAATTTTCTGGAGTAGAGGCAAGGTGCCTTCTCACCTAACTACAAGTAAACTTGGCAAAACATATGGCTTCAATCATTTAGACAGCATCTGACTTAGGATTATACAATAGTTGATTAACAACATTCACAAGATTAATCTCCAAAAATTCCCTAGAAAGTTCAAAAAATAAACAGAGTTTTTAAATTCCATTTTCAGCTCCTTCATAAGTCCTTTGTCAGAGGGACTGAATCCTGCCAGGGTGGCAATCTCTTGCGTAGAGTCTGTAGAAAAGAAAGGTCTTTTTTTGGATCTTTAAGTCAATAAATTGATAATTTGCACTTCAACCACTTTATAGTGGAAAGTGAATCTTTTAAAAAGAGGAGATGAGAATTTTTTCCTAGTTAGATCTTACAAAGAGTTAAAACATGGTAGTCTTCTGCTCTTCAATTGTATACATTGTACCCAGTTCTAACATAAGCATGGGAACAGTAATTTCCTCAAAGCTTCAAATAACCTCAAAGTTTATGAGAGAACAAAACAAAAGGAACATAGTTCAGAGTTTTTTGCTGGGATATTTAAATAAAGATCAAAAAGTTGCAATTTTAATAACAAATGGGTGGATATGTTACTTTGACAATTTAAGCCAACATTGAGCTTCAGTCACACTATGGGTAATTCTGTTGTGGCTTCAGCTCTATGCCAATTCTAAGAATATGCATTTTAAATGAATAGGACAATTAAAAACCACTGCAGAAACCAATATCAATACCTCTTTGAAAGGAAGAAAACATCTGAAGGAGATCTAGACCTGTATCTGTAAAAGCATTAGATCTGCATGGGAGATCTAAAACGAAAACTGTAGATTCATAGATCTGAAATTTTTCCTGGAAAATCATGAGATAAGAAAACCTGGAGCCTCTGGAGTTCACAGATGGTTGCCCTCCGCTGGCTCGAGAGATGGGAGAAAGGAGCACTGGAGAAAGCTAAAATTCGAAGACTAATGGTGTGAGCCATCAGAGCATAGGCCTAACCCAGAGAAATGCGGCTGTAATCATTCTATTTGAGAGAATCTGATGTGAGAAAAGAGAGAGAACTTTATGTGGGTCCCTGGCAGTTAATGATTCCTCTGGTTAGTTTCATAATTAATGGAAACATTGCTCAACTAAAATTTGATTATGTAACCTGAAAAAAGCATTATAAATTTAAATAGGAAACCTTACAATTAATTTAGGACTACCTATTTTGGGAGCAAGTTATCTGTGTCATGGAAAGAGGACCCACCTCAAGTTTGTGTAATTTCCTTTCACATACTAATTATGAAGTTATTATTAAACCAAACCATGCCATTGACTTATGGAAAAACCGAAATGGAAGGATGATTGTGTGTATGGTCTGTCTGTATGGCAGCACTACATACAAACAATTGAATCTCTGTTACCATGACCTATATTTTTGTTTCCTCTGATAGACCTCTACAATTTTTTTTATGTGAACCCCAGGCAGTTGCATGCATTTTGTTTTTGTTAGTATTGCACACTTTTTTCTTAATATGTGTCTACCTTTCAAAATGCAGTTGCATAGCTTGGAAAAGAAGGGGAAGCCAATTACGAAAATGGTTTCCTATTGTGCTTATCACAGGTAAAGCGCCTTCAAACATGCCCATACAAGCTTTCTGGGCAGAGAATTCCTTTAGATCTTAATGACCCCTTTTTTCAAACAGAAGAGAGGGGGAAAATTATTCTTTTTTTTTTTAAAAAAAGTTCATTTTCAGCAGAGTAGCCAATTAATGCTCAAAACCAGAGGGGTGTTGAGTGTATTTAGCTGGAACAAAATGTATCTTGCAGTGTTTTGTTTTTGTTTTCAACAGCTTCTTGATAATTTCCTGACGTCCTCTCCCTCTCTCTCTTTTCTTTTTTGGTGGGGCGGGGGTTGGGGGTGGGGGGTGGATATAGGGTTCCAAATCCAGATACTGTCCTTGTCATGCAGACTCCAGTTGGGGTTTTTTCCACTAAAAACCTAGTTCAAGACAAAAAGCACCCTGGTTCACGGTTAATTTCATCCCACAGATTGAATATTCAGGAAGCTCCAGCAACAGGAAGCAATGAGTCTGAGCCATTTTCTGCTGCACGATGTCAAATCTTTGAAAGATTGAACCATGAGGTACTTTCAAAATCATATATTATATATTGATAGGAATGTTTCTTTCAACCTGGATATCCATTGCAGTGCTTTGTTAGCAACAGATGTTTTGGAAGTGGTGTAGGATGCAACCCAACCCAAGTGGAATCATCATTCCACGACACAGCCCAATTTTCTTATTGATTTGCCTGTTTATATTATCTTTTTGCCTTTAGCTCAATATTTACTCTTACAGTGCTTTTTGCTGAAGTGAGTTTAGAAATTCCTCCTCTTTCTTTCTTTCTTTTTATCTTTTATCTTTTTTTTTTTTTTTTTTTTTTTTTTTTTTTTTTTTGCTTTGTTGTTACCTCAGTCAAAAAGGTTTGTTTGTGTGCAAAAAGTCTCTGGAATAGATGTGGAGGAAGGATTATATTTGACGTCCCTACAACAAAGTGTAGCGGGTTCCCCCTATATAGTGCAGTTTATTAAGTTTTTCTTCTTTTTGTGATATGAGCTTATTGTTAAGTGATATGAGCTGATTGGTATCCTTCTCTTTTCTGTTTGCTAGAGGACGGGTGAACATGCCATTGCTCATCGGGTGATGGGACCTCGCCATCACTTTTTAAGTGCAATACAAGGATTGAACAAGTTCAGAGTAGATATCCCTGTGTGGTTTTGTTCTCATCCAATTTGATGTGGGCTCTGGAAAGTTAGAGGTAGGGCTAACGTCTGTTTTCTTCTGCTTCAAACAGGAAATAGGGAGCCTAAAGTCTTTTCTACCTTCAGGGAACGGCTGTACCATTTACAGGCATGTTTTTATCATCGCACCATTTTCCTCTCTCTTACTTCTTCTTTTTTTTTCTGTTTTTCTTCTGGGCCCCTGGTATAGGCTTAGTGCTAAGTGCAGTTAGTGTTAGCTTTAAGGTAGATGATTCAGCCAATCCTACCTGTCCTTAATTGACTTTTATCCCTTCCATTTGATTATCTGTGTATGAATCCAGATAACAGAGAATAATCGGGTTTGCTTTGGAAGATCTGGAATTCATAGGTGGGGCCTTTTTGCACGCCAGAACATCCAAGAAGGAGAGATGGTAAGCAGTTGCATCGGTTTCTGTTAAGTTTTTTTCTTAAAGTGTAAAAACTAATTCAGTACCATGCAAAATTCCTTGAAGGATCAGTAATACTCATGGTGCAGTGTCAGAAGTGATATGGACATAGAACTCCTATTGGAGTATAATATTGCATTTCATATGTCTTAATTCTATGCCCTTTCTTGTATAGGCAGTCACCTATAGTAAGACAATGAAATGACATGAATCTAAAGTTGATAGAGCCTATAAATTTTCACTTGAATGGTTCGTTCAAATGGAGCATCTGAGCTTTACCTTAGTGTATGTCCTAGATTCTTTATTGTTGTCATATTTACTGGAGTCCAGCACGTGTCATTACGTACCCAATGGTGATTATTTCTTTTATTTGCATGAGTCAGTTTACCCTAGGGCACATGTAGGCCCAAGGTTGTGTTGTTTTGCAAGGGATTTTCTTACCTTTTGTAAACGGAAAATGTTGGAATAATATGCCTACATTACTTCCAGGTTCTTGAATATCGTGGTGAACAAGTCAGGCGTAGTGTTGCAGATTTGAGGGAGGCACGCTATGGTGTGGAAGGCAAAGATTGCTATGTACGTTTACTGACTTGATAGATTTCAGAAATTTTCATCTTCCCTTTCTTTCCTAATGGACCTAACTTTAGGTATTGTCCCCTTTCTGGTCTCTCTCATGGAAGTAATGTGAGCTTCTAATCTGCAGCTTTTCAAGATTAGTGAAGAAGTAGTAGTGGACGCAACAAACAAGGGAAATATAGCGCGCTTAATCAATCATTCTGTAAGTTAATTCTTATAAAGATTGGACGTGTGCATGCTATACCAATGATTTTCTATTAATCGGCAATCACCCAGATGCCTGTGTATTGCGCCTGAAGTGTCATAACATTTTGGTATAGTATTTATCCCCGTTTAGAAATTAAATATTTGAGTTGGCATAGAAATCTTCAGTTTTTTGTCAATTAATTGGAATTTGAAGTCTCCTGTTTCTAATCTGGACCTTTGTGATAGGAGACAGATTCCAAGAATCGCAGCTCAATCGTAGCCATTCATATCTTGTTTTTACATATTTTGGTTGTGGAAGCAATGTGCTATCTCTTACTGGAAACATTCTGACTCTTTGTTTGCAGTGTATGCCCAACTGCTACGCGAGGATCATGAGTGTTGGGCACGACGAGAGTAGAATTGTGCTTATTGCAAAGACCAACGTGACTGCCGGTGACGAACTAACGTAAGTCTCTCTTTATGTATTTATATTCGCATGTTTTACGTCAGAACAGATCACGTCTTCGTGTGTGCATGCATGCGTGGACTCCCATCCATCTATTTGCCGCGTATTTATTTGTTTTTTTTGCTGAATGATGACAGGTATGACTACTTATTTGACCCGGACGAGTGTGATGAAGTCAAAGTGCCCTGCTTGTGTAAAGCTCCAAACTGCAGGAAGTTCATGAATTAGGTTTACATACGAGAAATGTAACCCCATTGTTTCTCCGCAAGGAGCTCCAACCCAACAGAGCCTTCCAGAGGGACCTCACCGAGAGAATTAGTTGCCGATTTCGTAATTTTCTTTCTTTTTTATTCAAAAAAGGAATATATAATTCTTTTTCTTTTATTTTGACGAGTTATAGAAGGTTAATAAGAGGAGTTACGCATTTTTCCTTGCTGTTTGCTTGAGGCGTTATCATGTAAGTAGTTTAAATTTTAATGTTGGTCCAGAATTTGTACTCAAGTTAGATTGTCCACGGAGGACTTAACCCCATTTTTCCCCTTCATCTCCCCAACTTAAATGCAATTATTTTGAAGAGCTTGTACCTAAAATTATCAAGGGATTGAGGCTTCAGTTTGGGTGGGTGCTCAAGGTTATATAATGAATTTCCTTTTTAATTTTAATAAACAACATTTTTGAACACAAATAATCATTGTTTAAAAGAAATTTGGTATTTTAGACTTTCTTAAAAGACCACCATAATAATCTTTTTAGGAATGTTTGTATATTTGTAACCAAAAGTTTTAAAATAAAATTTATCGGGGATTTACTTTTTTAATTCATATCAATTGCTAATTTGTAGCTGTAAATTTTTTGTTTAAAAATCAGTTTTTTGCTCAACCAAACAGCGCTTAAGCTACTGAAAAGTTTAAAAACTTTACCCTTAGAAAAACATTTGATGGATTAAAACCTTCCCTTTCATGAATTAACTTTAAAGACTTTAAACATAAATTTATCATTAACAAACTCAAAAATAAAATAATCACCTTTTTCTAGAAACCAAAAATGAGCCATTGGCCCACTATAGGTGAAAAAACATTTGGAAAATGGGGACTGTCATTTGGCGTGCACTGGCCCACTGGGCCTCGTTCTCCGACTACTACGTATGTTTGGGTGGACCTACCGGCCCACATCTCCCAGACCCGTAAGTTATATGGACCCACTGAGTGAAGAGGAGATGGAAGAGATATTTGGAAGGGCGGACGTAGACATGCGAGAGTCTCATGGCGAAACGTTTCAGGCATCTTCTCCCACGCAAACTTCACGCGCTTCTTCTTTATATAATTACAGGCATATATGTATCTACCTATGTATATATCGTCGTTCCCGTCCCCCAATCCTCCGTGTTTAGTTCAATTTAGCAGCCAAGGATCTGCAGAATTTTGGTAAGTTAACCCTCCCCTTCCTTACTGTGAATATCTTCGTGCTGTTTGGTTGCTTGGAAAATGCCGGAATCATAAAGAAATTTGCTGAATATGCTCTCTGAAAGCTCAACTGGACTTGGTCTAGCTTACTTTTTTTAAAAAAAAAAAAAAATAGCTGGTTGTTTTCTCTTGCTGAAGAAATTATACCTCCAGTTTCTTAGTTGAATTTAAATTTCCGTTTTTCTTTTTTCTGTTTGTTTCCCCATAAAAAAATAGTAAAAGAAAGATGGAGGGTTTTTGTTATCTTGTTTGAAGTTCCAAGAAAGCGCTGGAAAAGACAGGAAATTCACATACTTAATTTGTTCAAATTTCCAATTTTTCAAAGGAATGGCGTTATGTGGGATTGGCTGGTGTCCAAGTCGAGAGATCGTTGAGATACCAATTTTTAACTTCAATTCGTCGACTAGACTGATTAGATCAACTTATGTCCCCTTGATTGTTAAGAATCATTATTCAACTCCCGCGCGATCAACAGTAAGATGTTCTGCTGCTTCACTGGAATCCAACGAGAGTGCCAGTGTCACTTATTCTGATCCTTTGGAAGAAGAACTGGAGCATGTTGTAAAATTCAAGATGTGTGATTTTAAGATTCGGGATCGCGTTAGCATTGGACTCGGTGGCCGGGTATGGGGAATTCTATAACTGTTGCTATAATGTTAATCCTTATTATATCTGTAACTTAACCATTTTGAAGGTTTTTCCAGACAGATGAGATAGTCTTTGAAGCAGTTGTGAACGATGTTCATAGGTTAGATCAAATTATTTGTGTGCAAAGTGATAATGTAATTCAAATTGATTGAAATTGACTGCCTGTTTTATGATATAGCCTCTGCATAACTCAAGAGTTGTTCTACGACAATTTACCAGTGCTCAAGCTCAGCGTAGAGGGAAGCGGGCAATTGAGGTTTGTGGATTGTGTGTGGATGAATTTTTGTGCTTCATTTCATGATTTTGAATCCCTTAGTTCAGTAATGACTTCTGTACATGGCAATTGATATAGGTATTAAAGAAGTTGGCTCGTCGCAAACTCATGTATTACTCCTATTCAATGCAAGTTTATGGATATGTTGATCCATCTACAATGGTTGATCAAGGCTCATTTACCCTAGTTCATGGGGTAGGTATTCTCTAAGTAAGATTATCTCTTACCTATAATGTACGTAGTGATGCCTATGTTACATTATAATAAGGGATTCAGCTCCCCTCCAGTCTTCCATCCAACTTGTTGCAACCAGTGGTGGGCTGGATTACTACCATGTTGCAATCTTAAAATCCTGCAGTGATCTTTAAATCATACTTTTCACTATTTTTTGGCTTCATGGAGCTTAAGTTTAATGGCATAAAAACTTCACAAAAGTAGTGTCAAAAAATGGGATATTCAGATTGCATTAAATTAGAGAGAATATTATTTATTTTAGATATAGATTACAAATAGGGATTATCCTTCCTTTTAGATATTATATCTTTAGAAATATATATTTCTTAAAAAACTTTTATATATACACATAAAACATACATCATCTTCTTTTTATTTGCTTTAGTAGTCTTTTTGGAAAATAGGAAAAGCAAATTGAAAATTACCATAACTAACTTCTTTAGAGTGAATTTTATACTAGCTAAACTTTTATTTGCAGTGCTTCTATCTTTCCCACCAAATATAAAAGAACATATTTTTTAAAAAAATTTGAAGTCGAGAAACACTGTTAAGCTTTTCTTTGTTTCTTTTCTATTTTTGGTTGTTTGACTTAATCTGGCAGGCGGATTTTTTTTGTTTTTCCCTCAAAATCCCAAAGTTCCCTTCTAAAGCGGGATTTCTATCCAAAAATAAGGAATGCCCTTTTGTTAAGCCTCTTGAAGAAAAAGTATACAAACCAGACATTCATTCCAAAATTTCTTTTGTTTTTAGGAAAATCAAACACTTCAACTTAGGATTTTTTTTTTAAATAGTTTTTTTTTAAAAAAAAAAAAAAACTTATATAAAAAACAGAAGTCCTAAAATGAAATAACTCTTCATTCTTTAACATTTTATTGGTAAGTTATTTTTTCTTGAACTACTTTGTAGTAAATTCAGTATTGGCATCGTTAACATGTACTGTCTGTTAAACTAAGAGTAATAAGAAAAAATTGAACATCCCTGTTGGATACAGCTAGCCGACCAACGATTCCAACTGATTGGAAGATGTAATAATGGTGAGGAGCCACTAAAATAAATAGAGAATGTATTCGTTGGTCAGGAAGGACCTTAGCTGGCAATTTCAATCTTATGGGTCTTATTTATTGTTGTGTGGAACATATATGGGTTGCATAAGGTTAAGTAGTGGTTTCTGAATTCTTAATATAAAGTAGCTCACCAATATCTTAAAAGAAATACTTAAGTGAAAAGGATCCCTTTTTTTGTTTTTGTAATTATTGACTGAGAAGATGAACTTCTCCTCTGAATGCTGTATGCAAAAGAATTTTCATTAAGTGAGTCATTTCATCAGTCCTACTAGGATGCTGCTGAATTATATCCCCATTTTTAGAGTAAATCGGAAGCTAATCATGTTAGCTTTCTTTGGGCAGTATCATGGCAGTTTTTCTTTAAGACATTGGCTTCAACAATCGGATTGGCTTCCAACATTGGAAGCTACTCTAGCTTTGGATGAGGAATCTGTTAGGAGAGTGGGGGATGACACAGTTGGAGGACCTGCTGTTTCTCGACAGTTGCGAATTATTCGAATCCTTATGAGAGATCTCTTGATTGGAGTAATACTTAACATTACCATGCATATGCTTATGTTGTGTCGCAGTTCAGACTTTGGATTCATCATCTAATGTGGGATAAGATGGTCTTATATTGTTTGCTTCCTTAGGTGAATTACTTACACAGCCATGGACTAGCCCATACAGAACTGAGGCTTGAGAACGTGCACATTAGCCCTGTGGATAGACATATTAAAGTGAGTACTGCTCTTTTTGTCTTGACTATGTGTTAGAATCTGCTTATGACATCTAGGCTATTATTCACATTGTGCATGTAGTCATGACTTTTTGTATTTAGTAGTTGGAACCAAGTTTGCACAAGTCTTGAGCAGTTAGTTTGATAACCAGCCAACTACTCTTTAAGTTCTCATATTGTGGAGACCTGTTATTCCGCTTGTGTGTCAGTTTGAAGATACTTCTATACTTGTGTTTTCTATGACAGAAAAAGAAGAACTAACTCAACATGATCAGGTTTAAATTATAGATGCTTGAATCCATCCTATCAGCACTTAGGCTTGTCTTTCCATGTTATACTGACATCTGGATTCTTCATCATCTTCACTTGGCTCCTAATTATCACTTGATTAACCATTTAGGATAATATAGCATCAGTTCATAGTCAAATGCAAGGCCACACATCGTGCAATAGGAAAAAATTAACACACAGAATCTATAATTATTGGCCTATATCAATGTGTGAGAGGTGACTCACAATAGATTTAAAAATTACAAGCAGAAAACAGCCCAAAACATCTAAATTCCTGTCTTAATATGCAAGCACTAAAAATATTGTGTTTGTAGCCCAAGCTCTAGTTTTGGAGCTCCTAAAGCCAGGCCTGCTTCTTCAGGTCTTAATATTTTTCCATATCTTCTTAACATCAATAGTAACTTAAATTCCTGAGCTATGAAAACAGGGAAATTGAATTCCTAGACTGGAAAGCCCTATGTTTATTGGGCTGGTTGTTGATGCAAGTGCAAACCTAATAAATCTATGATCTTACCAGTTTTCTTATGTGATGGGTCATGGCAATTAATGTGTCTTGACCTTACCAGGTAGGTATATTGGGAAACGCTGCTGATTTTTATGATACCAATCTACACAACAGCACAGTGGACAGCTGTATGGATAGGCGGCAAATGATGATTGCTTTTGACATGAGGTATGGCATGGTAAACAAAACTGAAGATTGAAGTAATGTTGAATTTATCTTAGTTATTTATGAGGTTTGCTTTCTCTTCTATTTATAATGCACAGGTGTGTGGGATTTATGATGGTAAAAATGGTGTTGCGGGAGCTCATGCAACCATTGATATTCACTAAATTCAAATCATTCCTCACAAAGGTATGATAAGAATTCACTGATTGAATAAATTTCACAATTTGAAACTTGGGATGGAACCTGAGTTGCCTAAGCTGCTGTTGTGGGCAGGCAGAAACCACATTTGCAAAATTGGAAATTTCATGTTAGATTCAGGATAAGTTTGATGTCGTTTAATCAATATATACTTTGTTATATAGATATTATTTAGGAGGCCTTTAGCTCAGTCCTGAAGTAACCTGCAATCATGAACGTCAACATAAACAGTCAAAAAATTTCTGATTAAAAAGGTTGACTATTTTTAATGATGCTTGTTCTGGAATACTTAACCATGCCTTTTAACTTTTGTTTTTCCAAACTGTGTTCTTATTATAGAAAATTCGAAAGGCAATCTGCCTCTATACTTCTAGAGAATCTTGACATTTGTTTTCCTCCCTTTCTGTTCATTTATCCCTTTCTACAATGGTGACTTGGCTTGCTCATGCCTTAAAGAGTTTATTTTCCAACATTTCACGAAAAAAGAATTGTCTGGTTGAGTCTGAAAGGACTAAAATGCAGTTCTCTTTAAGGACTTCACTTACAAATTGTTGCTAATCTCAATCTGGTTTGCAATTGTAGGGAAATGATCCATCCTGCTTGCGTGAGTTTCTACTGTCAATACTTTGTAGAAACTCCTCTTCTGGAAATGCTGGACTACAAGTTAGTAACATATCCTTAGAGTTAAGACTGTTATACTGCTCCTTCTTTTTATGAAGGTTTAGTCATCAACTGTCATGTTATCTGTTGTGCAGATGCTTGACAGGAACTGGGGTGCAGGATGGAACCTACTTTCCTTACTGCTTGCAACCAAGCCTTCTGAGAGAATAAGGTATATTTAGTGAATGCAGTAGTGAAAACCTGTTGTAATTGTACATTAATGAATCCCCTTGCTAGATGTTTGGAATCTGGAAGTGGCTATAACATTCTTAGAATGGTCAGAAGTGATGGTTGTGGGTAATATACTATGACAGTATATGTTGATCTCTTGTGGTTTATTATGCACGTTTGAACTCCATTTTACATATAATTTTCTGCATGGTGCATGTGTTTTGCTATTATTATGATGATGGGTGTGCTTTCGGACAGTGAGAGGGATCTCAGATTATCAAATATTCCATTTCACCATGTGTCTAAGGAGGTCATAGAGATACATCATCCGCACATAACAGTGACAGACTCTTCTTTACCAGAATTTACATGATTATGGCAAGTTCAGTCTGAAATTCAATTGAGATTTATAATCTTACTTGTTTCGCTAGGAAAGTTTGGCTTTCTTTATCACAGTAGTATTAATTATAACTACACCTCTCTGAAGTTTTAGTAACCCACGCTAGATAATTGATTCTTTGGATACTGGCTGGTGAATTATTACCTACTTAGGGATAATGACTAATTATTGGAAATGTAAAGAGAGCATTAACTTTTCTTATGGATTACTTTACAGATGTCTAGATGCTTTGAGACACCCATTTTTGTGTGGACCGAGATGGCGGATAGATCCATCCATGGACATCATTAGATGGGGTCTGGGTTCAACTGCAGTTAGGATTACAGAGGAATACATTTACGGCCATCAGCAGGTTTAAATCAATTCCCTTTTAATTCTAGCCAATAATTTGTTTCCATTTGCAAATTACAATATTAACCTCTTGTTCTATAGACAGGAGATGGTTATCTGATACTTCCAGTTAGCTATACTGATTTTCACAAAACCTCCTCATTGACATGCATTGAAAGTTAAATATCTCTCTTGTGATAATGGACTTTACATATGCTTTGGGAATTTGTCCAGTTTCTGGATTTTTGACTCAGTTATGTGTTGTATATGACATTATTAGTTTGTTGGATGGGCAACATCCAACAAACTAATCTTGCAACTAGCCCTGCTAGGCTTCTAATTTTCTTTTACTTTTGTTGTGAAATACCATAATTTAGGAGATTCACTGACCTATCTTCATTTTCATATTTTAGCGTAATAGGCTTGCACACTTCATCGAACTAATGGAGATGTTGAATTCACACTCAAAGCCAAAGGTGAAGTTTATTAATGCCTTTTTTCCTCATTTTTCCAAATGTCAGTCACTCGGATTCATCAATATTGCCTGCTCAATCTGCTTGCAGATTCATCCAAATATTTTTACTCAATCTTGAGGATCATATTTGCTTTCCTCAAACAGGGGACAGTTCACTTTTAGTTTTGTTCCCATTAGTTTTAGATTCATTTTTCTATTTATATGTAAACATGCAGAATTGGCTAGCATTGCTGCCAGGCAAATGGCGGCTGTTGTATAGCACTGGAAGGCACATAGGGTTGACCATCCGACAGCCTCCTGCCCGGGTCCTCATTGGGGATGTGCATCTAATCGTAAGAAGGCCAACAAAGTCGAATGTAAAAGCAACCTTTTCTTTCACCTCCGACATTAATTTTGCAGTGTTGGTGGGCAAAGACTGGCCGCACGACAAGGCTGGTGTAAAAGGAAAACTGGGAATAAACTCTTCTTTCAGGCTAGCAGGCGGTAAAAGGCTATATCTCAAGGAGCAAAAGGACATGACAAATTTCCTTCCCTCGCACTCCAACTCCCAAGATTCTGCAGTCAGGAAACTATCTGGTAGAAGATGGAGGAAAGCACTTCCATTCAAGGAGTTCCCCTCAAGCCTTCCCGTGGCCACACTTGCCTCTAGCGAAGTTGAGTTCACAATGAGTCTTGATGAACCGTTAGGGAAAGATATTGATGCTGCCAAAAACGTAGTCAATGAGGTGAGGACGCAAGTTCCACCTGAAATGTTTGATCTCTCAAAAGTTGTATGTGGAACATATGTGGACTCTAGGCTTCTGGTCCTCAGAGGGGTGAGCGGTTCAGCACTCTTGTTTACTAGGTCGTGTGAGAATGAAACCTGTATATCCAGTTCATTTTAACCACTAGGTAACAGCTCGCAATTGTTTTGTATTTATGCTACTAACTGCTGTAGAATTTTAATGTTAAAGGAAAAAAGTTCATGCGCCATCGCCGTCCTTTCAAAATGGCTATTTTGACTCGAACAATAATAAAGAGATAATCACAGCTTGCAATGAGACAAGTGCAAATATATTTGCAAATTCTAGATGACTGACGTGGATTAGAGCTTCTTTTGTTGGCTGTCTTCCTCCATTTAAGAGTTTGATTAAATAGCCCAAATAATATTATGGGATTTGGCAGTTCCATCTCGGAAATTATGTTTGATAAGTTCAGCTAAAACTGCATTTATCTTACAACTTGAAAGTTAATTTTTTTGAGGTATTTAGCCTGATTTGAGGTTTGAATTCAAACCTTCTGATGAAAATTCAATTCCCACAGAAGATCAACACTCATACGATACGGCAGATACGAAGCTGCATACTAACCTTCTCAAAAATAAAAATGGAAATTCCCTTTTTTTTTTTTTTTTGGAAAGAACTGTGATTTCAGAAATTTCTTTTAAAACTAAAGTACTTTTGGGGAAAAAAAAGGCGACTAAAAGATTGCTGCATTTTCGTAAATGAAGCATGAATCCCACAGGATCATTGCCCGGCAAGGGAGTAACCGTAAAATTCTCAAACTAGAAGAAGGTGCTGAAAGAAATATCTTTAAAGATGAGGCAGTTCCATAAATAAAATACGATTGAAAGCCATCCCTGAAGATTGCAAGTGTCACTCAAAAGGCAGCGTAACCTTCAGAACTGACAAAGTAAACCCTGATCTGGCTTTTATCGAATGTCATTGATGAACGAGAAGCAAGCTCGGTAAGCACCCAACAAGATGCGGAAGCTGAACCAGTCCATTTTGGGCGGAGACGAAGAGCTTCAAGACAACCTCTTGGACGAACCGGAAGGCTTCTGCTCTCTCTCCCCTTTGCAGGTACTGACTCCGAACTTCTATTCAAAATCTTCTATCAAATTTATTCTTCCACTATTTGGGTTGAATGTTTTATTTTCTGGATCGCTTTTTTTTTTCGACAGAGAATTTATGGATTCGCTGCCTGTTTGGTCGCTAGCGTGGTTTGCATATTTTTGGTATGATCTGTTTGAATAGTTGAATACAAATTAATTTACATATTGTTTCCTGTAGAGCGGATTTATTATTGGGCTTAAATGGATTCCACTATTGTCATCAATTCTCATAAACTCTTTGAATAAATAGCTAGTCAGTTCTCCTATTTGCTTCCAAAGAACGAAGATTTGTAAAACCTAATTACTTCTATGTGGAAAATGTAGACTAGTTAAAACTCTTCGTTGGTTGACATGTCTAGAACTGGCATTTGCTTGGTAGCTATCACAACCAGAAGAAATCCGTGGGGGTCTAATCTTTGTTAGATGTAGATGTTCTATTTGAGAATGACTCAAACCAGAAAGCTAAGGCCTAAATTTCTAAGGGCAAGGAAATGTGTGAGAATATTCTTGGTTAATCTGAACGAAAAATACATATTTGAAGGGGGAAACAAAATTTTGAATTTACATAATCTTTGTCTGGAAATTCTTTGGCAGGAATAATTGTATTTGTGCAAAGTTCAGACAAGTTCATTGAAGCTTATTGGTTGACAAGACGTGACTTGTACATCTGACAGTATTTAATATTTATGAGTAGATCAACAAAAACTTGCTCAATATTGTTTTTTTAGTCAATCTCTTGGAAAATCCCATCTGTATGGTTTAAGACTTCTAATTTTAACGTGCAATTTGAATATTTTGTTTTAAGGTGATTTCCCTTTCTACTCGAGACATATTTTCTTCTTAGTTTTCCAATCCTTGTTGTAAGGACCTGAGGAAAGATTTAAGATACATGGCATTGAGCTATGATGACATAGAAGAGCATATCAGGGCACAATTTCATCACTGCATGAATTCAATTCCTTATGCTCCACCAAACAGGTCTTAATGTTGTTATTGGATGATCACATGATTTGTTGCTAATATATTTTAACGGGTACTCTTTCCTCCCTTTTTAGTTGAATGCAGAGAGAGCTATAATTGCCATTGTCATGCAGAGTTGTGTTTATAGAAAGGGGGTTCCCAGGGAAAAAAAGAACGAAATGAAGAAATTATATAAAAGCTTTTCCTATCAATTTGTTGCCTGCTTTCACATTTTAATTGTGTATTGTTTTATGTCATATAAAGAATTCTATTTTGTCCTTGCTGATTTGCAGTGCATAAAAAAAAATTACTACTCGATTGATGAGTGTAGTTGACATATTTTCGGCCTCATATATTTTTGCAGTCACTGATTGTTTTTGTCAAACCGATCAAGTTTGCAGTATTATTCACCTTTGGCAACATGTTGGCTGTTGGAAGGTATGCTAATTGAAGTCGTGTACCAAAGAAATAATTTAGCTCAATTCAAAGCTATTCTTTTATTAAAGATTACTCTAAAGCCAATCTAGTTTTAGACTTTTAGTGTTAACCCTGAGCTGGTTGACACAACCAGACCCTGTTCATCTACATTATATACTTGGACACTGTTGCTTGGCGAGAGCAGAAATCCTGTGTTGAACGGATTTCTTGCTCAATCATTAATGAAATCTTTTGTCAATATCCCGCTACTCGGAATCTCCTAGTGTGCGTTTATTAAATTTAATTGGAAGAAACACTAAATATCTTTTCTATAATGTCATTTCTACCTTTGCTTAATACCTTTAGTTCTCAATTCATATTTCTCCGTAATTTGTAACTTTGAACTTTGTATGGCAGTACAGGATTCCTCATTGGACCCAGTCAACAAATAAGAATGATGCTTGACCCTGTCCGTATTTATGCAACGGCTATTTATGTTGGATGTGTTGTCTTTGCTCTCATCTGTGCTCTCTGGGTAAGTCTGATCTTGACAGAACAGAAAAGCAATAGTATCTTAGAAATGGACCTGGCTACATGGTCACAGGGAAAGAATCTATCATGCAGGCTTTTGAAATTGCATTATGGGATTAAAGTATGCAAAGTAATAGCCTTTTCACTATTTAAAGAAGAGGGAGAAAATATTTTTTCATTGAGAAAATTTATATGCATTCTTTTCAAACATTTCAACTGTCCTCAAGTTGTAATGAGATTGGACAGTATGTCTTACCTGGCCAAGTTCATCCAGCAGGTTGTTCATCGTGATTTTGTGTTATATTTCCAACATGTAGTCATAAAATGTTAAAAGCTATCCAAATAATTATAATGTCCATAAGGCAGAAAACAGGAGAAGCAAAATTTTGAAATTGCTGAAGATTTTTAAGGTATTTTTGGATTCAGAAACCATTCATTCCTTGGTACCTTTTTCTGTTTGTGGCCTTGTCTTTCTTGTTCATTACATCACGCAGCATTCTAAACATGGATTTCAACTTGTCTGCATTTAAAGACATAAACAACATCTGTATTATGTTTATAGCTCTTCCGAGCTGCATGTTTTACTGACTATGCTGGTCTGATCTATGCAGTACGTCGATGAACCTGAAACCCTAAATCCTAAAAATATCTATTTTAGATTTTTAATGCATCTAAGAATCGAATTAATATAAATTTTCATTTAAAATCCTGAGTAAAATTCTAGATTTTTGTGCCCAAAACCCATATTAAAGCTACTAAAGTCCCCAACTGATCTAATAAATTATGAATCGAGTGCTAAAGTCTTGAACCAATCTTTTTATGCATAAAACTGATTTATTTAACCTTAAAACCATCCATTTAAGTACTAAATCGGCCATGAAGCAGTCGTCAGAGTGCTGAACCAGCCATGAATTGGCCTCTAATGCAGTGAACTGTCCTTAAACCGGCCTCTGATGCGCTAAACCGGACATATAACAGACTGAACAGGACTAATATACACTAGACCAGACATATAACACACTGAACCAGCCAGAAAATCACTGATCCGGTCACTTTAAGCACAAAATCAATCTTTTAAATGCTGAACCGGTCCTTAAAAGCATTGAACTGGTTGATTAAACACTGAACCATTCTTTACTTTTTCATGAACCAGGCAAACAAAGTGTTAAACTGAATAAATAACTACTAAACCGGTCAATTTATCCTTTGAAATCCTTGCAGATCCACAATGTGGTCTTGACAATAATAGCAATTGTAAGCGAGATCTGTGCACTGATTTGGTGAGTCACTTTTTGCCACATGGTTCTTGTTTTGCTTCTTTCATTCATTTTTCTGTGTCTAATGTTTTCTTAGCATCCCAGCTTCTATCATTCTTGCTTATGCAACCAATTTAAATGAGGTGTTTCAGGTACAGTCTAAGTTACATTCCGTTTGCCCGTAGGGTGGTTTCAGACATGATGATACGTTTCTTCGGCACTGAGATGTAGTCCAGGATGTTGATGGGCAATTTGAGACAATTGATTTCATTGTTTAGTCATTGGAAAACAAAATACACCTGGAACACTGATTCTTTTGTAAATTTTTTTTTTTTTTGGCTCGACTCGTGCTTTAGATTATTTTTCATTTTTTTCTTTTGTTTCTGTTTTGTCCTGCAAGAAAGGCATTCTGTTGGTTGACTGGGCTGGGCTTGGCTTGACTTGTAACTTTTTACAGAGGTGAAGGTCATAACTATTTAAGTCCTAGTCCATTGCCAATAAAAATCTCTCTAATCATCCCTCTCTGCTTTGGGCTGTTTGGTTCCCCTTTTCCGAGTGGGCTTCTGTAAAATTTTAAGGATGTCTGGATCCTAGGGTTTTTAGCCTTTGAAAGTGCTGAAATCAGGGCTTTTGTCCAAATTATGGGTTTTGTGGGGACTTCTGTAGGCAAAGGTCTTAAATCTCAGTATTAAAAAAAAAAGGAAGGAGGGGGGGGGGGGGGGGGGGGGGGGCGCGGTAGGCAGGCAGACTAAACATCCACTTCGGAAAAACCCTGTTTCAAGTAAGCCTAATATCAGGGAACAAAGGGTCCTATCATAAAAATTTAGAAAAGAGATAACAGAATTCC